ACAGCAGCATTAAAAAAAAAAAAAAAATCACTTACCAGAAAAACCAGGTGTTAGTGAAGCAAGTTTTCTTGCTAGGTTATCTTTGTTTAAGATGGTATCTAATTTCAGAGGTCTAAGGTGGACTTTGAAAATAGATGCTCTTCCTTTTATATCTGGGGGTCCTTTAAAATAAAAATAAATTTGTATTTATTTTACTTTACACACATTTTAATTGAGTGTGTGTAAGCAATTACATATGTAAATAATTGCAGTGATTTCTGTGGTACTCTACATATGCAGAGGTATATAGTGATGCAGATAAACTTACCAATGTAAATTTGTCTATCAAAGCGTCCTGGCCTCATTAGAGCAGGGTCTAAAATATCTGGCCTGTTAGTACCTGCCAAAATGACTACGTTTGTGGTTGTGTTAAATCCTGTTGGAGAAATACAATAAAAGTCTGTGTAAAGATGGTTTCCAAGAAAAAGAAAAAAATTGAAGCAGAAACAGGAAGTCTGTTCACTTTAGAGGGCCATGTAAGAAGTGACACTTTAAACAAACAGTCTTAAAGTTAAAAGTATTTCTATTTATTAGACCGTGGTCCAGCTTTTCATAACAAGAAAAAAATGGCCTTGGGCTCTGCTTTATGGAGTACTGTATAAAATCCTAGCTGCATTTTTGAAGATAATCTATAGAGTAAGTGCTCCAGAAACTCCAAAATCAGCATGCCTAGCTGGGTGATGGGTTATTTTGGTTTGGTTTGGTTTTTTTAAGAACACAAACTGGTCTCATGCAGAAATTTTCATTTCTAGTCAACTTTGACAGAGAATCACACGATGCAGAAAGCTGGTTCTTTATTTGGAAAGAAACTGGGCAAGAACATCAGGCTACAGCAAACTGAGTCATCTCTCTTCATTTCAGGAAGCAAGAAAACACACCTATTTTCTTTTAAATTAGAACCCAAATCCTTGTTAACAGGTCTGAATAAGCGTATTAGTTCGTTCACTTATCTGTTCCTCCCTCCATCGCCACATGCATACGCTTCCTCCTCACATCTAAAACTACAAACACATTAAGGTAGCAATCAATGCAGTTCATACCTAAGTTTTTGAGGGCATAGGAGGCAATATTAGAAATTAAATGCTTACCATCCATTTCTACTAGAAGTTGATTGAGTGTGTTCTCTTGTTCACTTTGTCCTCCAAAGTTGCCCCTTCCTCTTTTCCTCCCTACTGCATCTATTTCATCAATGAAGAGAATGCAAGGGGCATTTTTACGAGCAAGAGAGAATAAGTCTCGGACCTTAACAAGAGAACGGAATACATATCAGGTTACAGTTTGTCATTGTCCAGTGGCACTTGGGCGGGTGTGCACCTGTGTGGAAAGCAACATCAGTAACAGCAACAGCAAAGTATATACTGTAATGTAACAGTAACTGTATATAGACTACTTTTGTTAACAAGTGTTCAAAAGCCTCCTGCCAGCTCTCAATGCAATGAAAATTTACATTGTAGCTATTACACAATAAGAATTACTAGGGTGGGTCCAGCATGTTTTCTTAATCCATAATTAAGAACATAAGGTTTTTAAATTGCTTATTTTAAGTAGTAACTGCTTTCCCTGGATAACTGAAATACTGTCTTCAACAGCAACTCTAAAAACTGTAGCATGCCTCAGCTATTTTAATCAGCTTTTGACTTAAGAGTCACCTGTGAACACATCAAGTCTCTCTTCCTTCAGCCAACTCAAATTCAGAGTACTGTCAAATGAGTCTCTCTTTCAAAATAGACTCCAATATGGGTATTAAAGGCTATCATAATACATTTAGTAATGAAAACAATTAAAGGACAAGTTATATAGCTATCAACATGCATTAGCACTTGTTGCAATACGTTCTGATCCACGTGGCTGAACACATCTTGTTAAACAAATAAATCCATTAAACAAAATTCAGGTTGCTTGCTAAACTGTGCTTTAGTGCAGAGTGAGGGAAGAAAACTCCAGACTCCACAGACTTAAAGCAAGGTTTCTGTTTCAAGATCTTCTTTAGCGTGCAGTATTATAAGCAGAACCAAAAGCTGAATAGGCATGCTACAACACAACAATTCTTCATCTCAAGCAAATAAAAGATTTTAAGTTTTTACTGCAGTTAGAACAGAATGATGTAGCCCTTACAGTGAACTTGTCAAGGCTTATTTATAAGTGCTTATCATGCTTTAACAATATGCTGCTATAAATATTAACTCTCAGCCACCCTCTCTACCCTCTATATGGGCTAGAAAAACAAAACTCACCTCTAAGTATCTATTCTGAAGCTAAATTAACTTCCCCTGAGAAGTTTGGGGAAAAAAACAAATACAAAAAATCCGTAGGAGATCAGCAAGTACCTGAACAAGCTTTTGAACTTTCAAATTTAATTAAGCAAAGATACTGCCTATCAAAGCTTACTGTAATGGTTACAACAAAGTGTGTTTGGCTACATGCAACGTTATAATGTTACTCTGCTTACAACCGTATCAGAAGAACCTTATTAAACCAGTTCAGTGAACAAACAGAGGTAGTGACTGAGGACTAACAGCAAGGAACAGGAAATGAGAAATTATGGAAGAATTTTGACCTGAGTGAGAATACTATGCAGTTCAGAGCTTTACTCTTAGTGTGTTACAGTCACAATTAGAGAAGCCTTCTTTAAAGACAAGCAGGATACATTAGATGTGAAGAGATGTCAGTTTTGGGCAGTAGGCTTCACTGCAGAAAGTCCAGGAAGTCATTCTGCTTTGTACACAGTTTGAAAAAAAATAAAATGAATAAAGCATGAAGGGACATGATAAAAAAAAAAAAAAAACCTAGAAGCTCAAGCTGAGCTCTTATCTTTTGCTCTGCAAGAGAGAAATCCAAAAATACAGAACTATTTTCCCCAAGCAATGGAACTAAAAATTAGCGTAATGTGTAGGCACAAGAAAGCATGAATCAAGGCTGTATAAATTTTAATTCTAGCTTATCCTAACTTATGAACAATTGATTTAGCATTATTAACAACTTACTAAATGTAGAAGAGTGTTTTAGTTTCACTTTCTATGTTATATTCTACAGATATCAAAAATGATCGGCCATGTTGAAATCCCAGTTCTTAGTCCAAACAGCAACTGTTCCAACAACAGATGTCACTTGTTAGTATAAGGGGATAATCATCTACGTAGATTGGTAGAGAAAAGTGAAGACACTTTGCTTTTTGGCTTTTTAGGCATGTGTTGACAGCTGATAACTAATGGTACTCAGCAACTGCATTCTATTTCAGGACATGCAATACTTTTCCAGAGGATATGAAACTGTTTCTTTTGTTGCTTTTTCTCACTTCTGCACTGCACACTCCTTTCTTCAAGTCCCATCTACCTTACCTACTTAATCACAGTCTCCATACCCCTTGCTTCCAATGAGTCGTTTTTTTTTTTCTGTCGCCACCCATGTTTTTCTCTCTGTTATCAATTTCTCCACCCATCTTCCTGCTCTCAGCCTGTGTCCTCTCCCCTCCAGAGTAGCTCCTTTTGGCAATCTCCTTACAGTTTCAGTCTCTCTCTGCTTTCTCCACCAAGTCTCTGCTCCCAAACAGCTCCCGCATTTACCCTTCTAGATAAGCACCTATTCTTCCCAGTTACAAATTTTGGGCCTACACCTCCAGCTTCCTTCCTCCCCTGCTTCTTTTTTTTCCCCCCCAGAAGACCTCAAACTACCTGGCTTTGAGTATCTATCTTCTCCCACTCTGCTATTCCTGGAAGAAGTCCTCCAAGAGATCCTCAAAAAGAGATCTATGCTATAGAGAGGCATATGCACATACAACTGTGAAAACACAGTAAGGATGAAATCTTGAGCAGGTTTATCTGCTAACCTCTAGCAAGTCTCAACATAAGAAAACTGCAATTTTTTGAGGCTTATAAAACTTATTAAAAAAAAGGTTAGTTTTTACAGAGCAAAAGTGCACCTACCCTGTAAAAGTCATTCTCTGTCAATTTTCAAATTCAAGTTAAGACTAGAGCATTTCCATCAGTTTTTAAACACGTGTAAAACAGAATATTCTTTCCTTAAGTCAGTTCTCAGAAATGGCAAAACAAATTTTAACTCAAGTTTGAAGAAAAAAAAAAAATACACAGTCAAAAGACAAAGAAAACGAAGTCAGTTTAAAGTACACTTTTCAAGGCTTAAGACAAGATGGTTGGAGTTTGGTTAAGTTACAAGCTGTTGGAAACAGGGTCTAGTTCTGAACATAATAAAGAAGCTTAATTACAAGTGCTACCAGCCTCATTTATTAAGCCTTGACAGTATCTTGCATACAGAGTATTTTAAATTAGCAGATTTAAGTGTCCTCCCTTCCTACATAGCAAAAGATAGCTTTCAAACTGGATGTTTGAAATGCAGTTGTATTTAAAAAGAATACTTAAGGAAAAACAGATGTACTAGAACAAAGTTACTACTAACTAAATCCTTTCACTGAAAATAGTTCATTACAAAGTTATTAGTACGAGAATATGTACTGTGAAAGTTGCTGGCTTATCAAATTAACACTACTAATTTAGCTCTAAATAATAATTCACCTAAATAGGCTGACAAATTTAAGTGGTAGTTTTATGTTTGCAAATAACATGACATAAGCACAATGTATTTGGAAAAATACATCAAGGCATATGTAGGTCAGCTGGGATTACATCACTGAGGGATTGTTTTCTTTCAAACTCCATTAATAGTTACTACAGCAAAAGAGCATAAAAACTGTTAGATTTAGTTGCTGGAGTTCAGGCGATTTGAGCGATTTCAGTGTGAGAGATAGATCTCTCCCCATCCATGACCTCTGGACTCTTATTTCAACTAGAACCACATTAGTATGCCCCAGACAACTATTTATATTTAACGGTATGATCTTACAAATAGGGCAGAGTTCTTTGAAGAAATACAACAAATTTAGAGCAGGAGGAAACAATCGCACAGCAATAATCAAATAAACTACATATTTCTGACGCAGTTAGTATGTTTACTTCAGAGCACAACTTGAGGAGAGTTTAAGTTCTTGCAAAGAGGTAAAGCCTTTATGGGTCCACATCGCCTGAAATTAGATACCAAACTACACTGGTTCCTTTTCTGAAAGGTGCATCTATGACATCTATGATTTCTAGAAGTGCATCATATTTAGGCAGACATCTGGCATCACTTGCAGGGTAATCTGCCTAGATGAGAGACTTCAGGTATAACCAAGCTTTTTCCCCACCAACCTTGACAACGACCTTTCAACCACCAACACTGAAATAACAGAGCAAGGGCAAAGACTTACTCTAGCTGGACCCACGCCAACAAACATCTCTAAGAACTCTGAGCCATTGACTGTGATAAATGGTACGTTAGCCTCTCCTGCTGTAGCTTTAGCCAGAAGTGTCTTCCCAGTACCCGGAGGACCTGTCAGAATGGCCCCCTGCAAGAGAAACAGGTATATTTTCTCATGAAGAAAACAACATAACTCCATGAACTATCTCAATTAAAGATCTTGTATACGTTACGGTCTTAAGTCCAGTAGCTTTTCTCTCACTACCGTTACAGAAGTATATAAAGAAACAAAGCAAGGGAACAAACTGAAATTGGAGCTCTCATTTCAACTAGTTTGAGGGGAAAAGGCAGGTATAACATTGCCACATGTTTTCTTAGACTTGTGGAAAGAGCGACTTCAAAATACTTCGGTCAAACACATGAAAAAATAGCATGTCAGCAGGTTGGCTCCCACTACAGCATAGTCAAAAAAGTTACAGACAATTCTATAACAGCTATATGGAGCACAATGATAGTACATATGTATGCTAGGTATCATTTCTGATCCACAGCCAAAAAAAGAGGTATTCCATAACACAAAATCTTATAGCACTACCTACTGCTGGTCCTTATCGCCTATTTATTTTTTCCTGATTCCAAGAAGAAAAAAAACTATAAAGCACAACCTACATAAACATTCCTAGCCTCTTCAGAACATCTAGAAATACCACTGCAAGAATTAAGTCTTCACCTGCTAAATCATTTCTCCCTTACCTTTGGGATTTTTGCTCCCAGATCCTCATATTGCTTGGGATTTTTCAAAAAGTTAACAAACTCCATTATCTCTAATTTGGCCTCCTCACAGCCAGCTACATCTTTGAATTTCACATCTATTTCATCCTTAAGAACTTTGGCTGTGGTTTCACCCACGCTGAAGAGTCCACCCATTCCTCGTCCTGCTCGACCTAAGCCTGCAGGACCTCTTCTTAATGTGTACAGTAAAGAACCAATAATCAGGATTGTAGGCAGCAAACTCAGGAGAAATGATCTGAGGAGAAAAAGAAAAAAAAAAAACCACACATTATTTTCCCCTCAGGAATCCAAACAAACATAATCATCAAGAATGAAAATACAGGATAGTAAACAAGTGCTTATGATTAGTGATGTGAGCTACTAGATCCAAAGTTAAATGTATTAGTTGCGTTGGGACTATTCACAGACACATATATTACTCAAAATTCATTATTGCATATGATAACATGTACAAAGTGTTGGTTTTACCATAAGCAACCCTGAGTAATTTCAGGACTAATAGTCTATTAACTTGCAGATTTATTACATCTTTGCAAGCTTTTCACACTGGAAAACAAATAAAATTGAAAACGGAAGAAAAACTTAATTACATAAGTCAAACTGAAAAGTCTGTTATAACTACAGCTAGAGGAAGAGTTAGAATTCCGTTTTCTTCACACTTCTCCCCCACCACCCCACCCCCAATCCTGGGAAGTGTAAGTTAACAGTCTTAGAGGGTGACATATTCTTAAACTTGATGTTTAAGAAATTACAGATTTGGATTTTGTTTGTTTTTAAAAAGAGTAAAACATCAAATGACAGTGGTGAATTTGTGGAGGAAAATTGTGTTACCTAGTAACAGGAGTTACTAGGTAACTAGTTACTTCCCAAGCCATTTAAGTGTAAATTCACAAGACTCGTTAGGCAAACGCTTATACCGTGCACATAAGTTGTACTAAGTAACATATGACTGGCATATAGTACACCTTCAAGCAGAAATTTCTCTCAAAAGTAGTTACCCACCCTTCTTCTCCTAGCTCTGGCTCCATTTTTTACATTTTCCTCCTCCTTCTATGTCTGTATTTCCCTTTCCCAAGGCTATAGTCATCATTTTGCCGATTTCCTTTCCATTGCTCGTTCTTCACTGCCCTCCCGCTTTCTAGCGCAGCCCCCTACAGGCCACACATCCTAATGCTAACACAGTTCTCATTATCACAGCATTTGAGCACTTCAGTTTTTTTTGTAGCAAGATCTTCAAGCTCACAGGAGGTTCCATCAACAGTCAGCAAAAATAAAACGCAGAGAAGTAGCGCTACCACAAGCGAGTAAACGATTTCCAGGCTTCACTGATGTCCCAGATTTCTGGGACGAAAAGTTTACGTGTTATTTTCACTATCCCACAGTGTTCAGCAGATTCTGATCTGGCACTGAGCAGTACTACCATGATCACATAGCTGCTGCTCTCTCTCGTTCCACATTGCCTGTGGCATTTCAGGGACAAGGCAAGAAGTTACAGCCAACTGCATTCTACAGAGAATAGACACTGAGGAGCAGAGGGCCAGAGAGACTGCAGCCATGAAAGAGGGGTTCAGTGAATAGGAAAGATTTGGGAGAGACTGAGGTAGATACAGGAATTGACGCGCTCTTCCCAGCCTACAGCGAGGATCTCTTTGCAGAAGTACAGCTTTGGTTCGACTGCTCATTTTTTCAGGTACTTCTTTACGTAGGAACTTGACCGGTTAGGTAATACACTGACCTTGTCAACATGCCTCTTTAGATAGAAGCAAAGAAATGAGGCAGAGATAGTCTGCAGAAGAACAAGGAACAGAAATCCTGTATCTTAAGTCCCAGGATGGTCTAGAGTTAAGGGTACCATTTCTCCTGTTGCCACAAACAGGCAGCAGCTTGGTAAAATGAATTTGAGAAGTAAACCAACTTTCCCCTCCCTCCCCCAAAATCCAGATGAACGCAACGTCAAGAATGAAAATAAGGAAGCAGCAAACAAGCACATATCACTAATGATATGAGCTACGAGAACCAAAGTTGGATTTCTTGATAGACCACACCCATTACACAGACACCAGCAGGAGTTGTTTTCAAACTGTTGACTTGAATCAAAATGAAATCAGTTCTTGGGATAAAAGATTAAATTTGCCTTCTAAGCCATTCAGAAAACCACGCCAGAGAAGTCCTGTAGTCTCTGCTAAGCCCAGGTCAATAAAACTCAGTTATAGAGGATTAATACAAAGAATACAAACCAAGCATTGGAACCATTATTCCCTACTTGGGTAGCAAAAATGCTGTAAAACAGGAGTCAGTACTATTTTTCTTAACTAATTCAGAGATTAAAAGCATGACGCATCCTCTAGCTTCTGCTACCAGGCAGGATAGCATGATCTACTTAATCACCAATATCTTGCCATTTGCAGGACCAGAGAATTTGACTTCTGCTTAGTTTATGGGCAGAAACTGGTGCCTGCTACATCTCAGTCAATATGCTATAGTTTTATGCCGTATTTTGTCCATTTAGAATCCATGCGAGTGCCATCTCTGGAGCTTGACAGCTGTGCCTTGTTGACTCCTGCTCTATTACAAGTCACTTGGGAGAAGAACTTAAATGAAGGACCAATTATGTACATAAGTCTAGGAATAAAAAGCTATATTTACAGGAAGATATGAATTTGCACAGAGACAGTACTGAACAGGTGCTGTTACAATTAACATTCAGAGATAAAAACGAGATAATCAGTATCCTGATAATACTGCCACCTTGCGTATAACATGCGGGTCTTACAACTCCAATTTTCTGGTGCAAGAAAGACCATTTCTCATTAAGACACCTATTTTTAAACAGCTTCTTACCCATCACTTTCTGTTGAGTAGACTACAGGCAATCTGTTCTCCACTTCTATTCCCAGATCTTGTTGCACAGTTTCCAGATTCCGTTCAAAAGTATCCACACTACCGATATTAAACCAGACGTACTGCTATAAAAAAAGCAAAGATCACCACAAAGTGCCTCATTTCATTTCAGCTTCATTACAAGTCAACTTTGAATGCATACACAAACAATCCTCAGAACAGATTCTGAGGGAAAAAAAAACAAAAAAACACAATTTACAAGGCAACTTAAATTTATAACTGATGGAAGGTATACCTGATAAATCTAAGGTATATTGACCTGAATATGCTGTGCCTCTGTCATTGCTTCTACGGAAATCATACGCCTAACAGTTTTTGTGCACTTGATAGAGATTGAAACCCTGACATTTTCTCCAGAAAAATGCAGGATAGTAAGTGAGCAGATATTTAGAAGGGAGCTCTGCAGTCACAGTAACAGAGCAATGAATCAGCAAACACAGCAGTCATGCAACTGTTTCACCAGAAGATCTCAACCTGTCAGGTTAAGAAAGGTAATTCTCTTATTTATTTCTAGAGTCTATGTTACCTTCACAAAAGGCAGCATGCACTTATATACTTTCAAATTCAGAAAATAAATAAATCGAGACATTGCTTTGAAACAGTGTTGACAGTGGGGCTTTTTCAAGAACATTTTTCCTTTTTTGCACCATGACCTGCCTGTCTTGTCCCTATTTATCCCAATAGGGGAGAAGGAAAAAAAAGAAAAAAGTAGCCCTAAGTATTAACTGATTGAGAAACCAAGGCAACTGGTGGTATGTGGGCTAAAGAGTAGGTGTATAAATAAATCTGAAGAACAAGTCACACTGAAACCCACTGATGAAGTAATTGCTGCAGATTTCACTGTACCCTGGAGGGACTTGCAGGCCTTGTTTCAGAAAGTCAGTAATGAAGAAAGAAACCCACGACCCAGGAAGCAGTAACTGGATAAAGTTTCTCCAAAATACAGAACACAGTAAGAAAGCACCCAGAGGAAAAGTCAGCTACCTGCATGTTAAACATGTCTGAAGCTGGCAGAGACTACATTCAAAATAAAGCTTTCACATTTATGTATATGAGACACTCTTTTCTTTTCTAAGTAATTGTAGGTCCCTGCTTTCAAGTAGTACTCTTTGGAAAACTTTAACCTGCATCAGTCCTGTTCCTTACTCTGTTACTGGGAAAAAGAAACCCTGAAATACGTTTTTCCCCCCCCTCCCCCGGCCAAGAAACAGAGCTCTTACCTTAGTTTTAAGGACAATAGTATCAAATGGAGACAAAGTTATTTGAAAACAAAAAGAAAAATTTATAAGTGGCTAGGAACGGTCTGAAACAGTAAAGATCCAAAAGTACATATGCTTCAGTTTCTGAGGCTTTTTTTTTTTTTGATCAGACCGGGAAGAGTAGTTACAAACACAGACTGGAAGAGTGAAGAATTTATGAAGGTCCTGTATTTCCATTAAGACCATGGCACTGGAAAGGAACCAATGGCTACAACTGTACATTAATTTCGTAATATGCTATTGGTTCTGGACATCTGCAGGGCAAAACATGATCAACATAATAAAAGGACAAACACAATGTAGGATAACGTAACAGTAACTCAGAAAACATTTCAGATTAAGAGACTATGAATGCTCCCAGACCAAGTTTGCTGCATCAAACTTAAGATAAAGAGTTGCCTTTGCTGTTTTAATGCCCCATTTATAGGTATTAAAAGCAAACGTTTACCCATTCATGAGGAGATTTTCCTGAAACAAAGATCACTCTAACAAAGCGCTTGTTTACCACTTCAAGCCTGTCCACCTGTGGGAGGAAAAGACAGAAGTTGTGATGTGTTACAGAGTAGGATCCGGGTTCACTGCTCTTCGATCATAACTAGCACATCTACCTATACTTTATCAGGGCTAGCTCTTCTCTTTTTCCAGTGAGGAGAAAAGAATTCGTGTTGAAGGTCAGGATGGCTTCACAATCTACAGTTTGCCAGTAGGCAAAGTATCAAGCTTTATACTTTATATAAAGATAGATTGAAAAGTTTCAAAGTACACCGAAAGGTTTCAGATACACATAACCACAAGAAATTTCAAGTTTATTTCTATTATAATTTGCTTCTAAGAATACCACCCTCTGGAATTAGGTATGTGATCAGCAGGAGTTACAAGGAAAGGATGACCTCATATCCTTTAAGCAACCAAAAACCCCCAAAGCTAACAAAAAAAAACCACACGCCATTTGAGTTCTGGCAGAATTGAAGTAAAATATGAGCTAAGCAGCCACTCTAGATCTCACCTGGCTTCATGCAAAATCACCTGAAATCTGTTTTGCAATGTGTGCAACTCTAGTAGTGCTGATGCCTTCTCCCCATTACCTGGCTACCACTACGGCAAAGAGCAGCTTTTGATAGCTACACATTTCACTTATCTGAACATCCAGACTACAGAGGCCCAAGGGACTGTTCCTGGTTTTGTGCCACAACCCACTTTCATAATGCTCTTCTGCAACATGGGTTCAGATTTTGTTCACTATAACAACCAAACAATTCTGCTCAATTAGTGCCTTACTGTTTCACGACAAGTATAATCAGCAAGTTCTTCTGGCAAGATGCACATAGTTGCCAAATAAGAATAGGACAGTAAGACAAGCAGTCTAGGCAGAACAGGAAAAGCAGACACAGCAGCTCTGCATAGAGCAGTAAGACAAAGAAAGGTAGGAAGCAGCTTATTCAGCAGCTTATAAAAGCAATATGAGGGCAGGAAGCATGCTGTTAACATAAAATCCCAGCTCTGGAACCTAAAGCAGAATGCAAATCCACGTTTTCCTAACCTACAGGATAGGCTAAAGAGATGGAGATAACGGAGCAAAGAACTAGTGGCTCCTGAAGTGGGAAAGGCCTATGCAAGACATTCAGTTCTCTGAACTTGGGAGTATCACTGACCTGTTACTCCAAGTGCAGAGAGCTGCCAAGTTAAACAGAGAGATAGGACACTGATGATAAAAATGATTGCTACTCCCGTACTGGCTCTACACAAAAAGAAAAAAAGGAGGAGAAACAAATAAAGGAGGTTCCTTTATAATACAGTTATGCCAATTTACTGCCCACAGAAGGGACTTTCATTCTCCACCTCCACCTTTCCATTAGCACTGCTACTTAAATCTGAGCTGGATTAAGGAATGAAACCAGCAAAAAACTCATGGAGGGGCTGGGGAAGAAGGAGGGAAACAGGCAAGGCTCAAGAGAAGCGTTTAAGGTTAGGAAATGTTTTCTGCCAGGTAAGTTTCTTCTGAGGACGGCAGATATACCTGCTAAAGCCATTACATCAGCTTAGCAGTACTGTAAAACTACACCCTGAAAGACCGCAGTTACATTGCCTTTCTAAACTAGTAGAAATGTGCGCTGCTGCCCAACAAGGAAGTTCTGTCCCAAGTTACCCAGTCCTATCTCCTCTTCTGAACTGACACAGACATGCATCCAGGGCATCACATCAAAGAACCGATTTAGATCAAAGCTAATCCCCTTCTCTCTCAAAAAAAGAGAGGAAGTCTTGAGCTGGTTCTCACTTTACAGCTACACAAATACAGCGCAAGCAAGAAGATAGAAAAGAATCAAGGAAAGAATTAATGCCGTCTTCATCACATTGATTTTTCATTTTGCTTCTCAACTACTCACCATTCCTTTAGCAAGGTAGTTATTGACAAAGTCTTTCCAGGTGATTTCTCTTCCAGGGACCCTGAAGAAAAAGTAATAGACGACCATCGTCCAGAAAAACGAGCTTCCCACAACATACATACGGAACTCCCTGACATCCCATGGGATGTCACCCTAGGAGACAGAAAACACAAAGAAAGTTTCAAAGTCTATAATACAGCAAGTACATTAAAAAAAAAAATCATGGGTTCTCATATCTATTTCTGCCATCTTTTCTCTGACTTCAAGGTTACTACCTGGCAAATGCCAAGCTAAGTTTTATTTTATTGTATGAATATACTGTAATAAGTTTCAGATAACTGAGGAATGACAGTGTTAAAAAATAAACAAACTTGAAGTGCTTCATCAACTGTAGAGGAACAGGTCCGATCTATAAACTATTCAATTTTTTAAGTTTTGCCAGCTCTTCCTAACAACAGTTCTGTTCTACGACCTTTTCTTCTCCATTTTAAAGCAATTTCCTCTGCCCAACAGAACTACGTGCAAGACCTACAAAAATAAATGAGTAAACAAACACCGAGGAAGGAGAGGAAACAAAATTATGCACAGCAAGTAAGACCAGAAAAATATTTTTTATAATCTTGTAGCACCACTTACTATAATCCTTACGCTACGGCTAAGGACAGCAGATAGAAATTGAGAAAAGAAAGTTAAGTTTACATTTCGTTAAGGTCAGAAAGGCTAACATTATTCTGCATTTCATTAAGTACTATGTTGTGATCAAAATTTTTCTAATTGACATGCTGAGACAAATATGAAGCCTTTAAAAGCCTAAGGCTTCACTATAAGAATACTGACCACCAGCAACCATATTCATATAGCTTAAAATTCCATTACGGTTCCTCCGCCAGTTAATGAAAAGTTAGATGCCTCTTGAAGAGGCATTCAAAAGACTTAGTTTATGTAAGGAACTGAGCAGGGATGCACCTAGAGCCAGTTACCGTGAAATACTCAACACAGGAGGCTTAAGGAGAATTTAGGCAATCAGAATATGGCCCTAGAAAGCCAAACACATTTGAGATTATTTCATGGGGACAACAAATTTACCACAAAGAAGAAAGATATTTTAAAGTCAAGACCTTCTGTAACCTGGTCCACCAGTTAGCGTCTTCTTTCTTGCCACCTTTTTTTCCACCACTGCCACCTCCTCCACTACTACTCCCGCTAGGCTGTCGGGCGCTAGCTTGCTTTGCCTCCAACAAAAAAAAAAAAAAATCATTATTACTTTTTAATTATTATTCATACATTTACATATTATTTGTATATCTTAAGCCAACCTCACACTAACTTTTATTTCTCAGTCATTTTCATTTTAAAGAGCTCATCTGAAAAATGAACTAGCTTATAATGCTGCAATACTTAGAGAACGTAGTCTACTGAAGAACTGCATTTTCCTTACAAACAGAAGTGGAGTCAGTCACTTGGCAGAGGCACCTACACCATACAGTTGTGATCGAAAGAGTTCTGTTAATTGTATAACTGATGACACTTGGACACCAAGAAACAAAAATGCCCCAGGTATAGTAGAAAGTATGTTATGGAGACTACATGAAACTTACATTTCTACTGCACTAAACCAAGATATGTGGAAGATTTCTCTAGGGGTGATTTTTGCAAGCTTTAAGTAACTTCTTCTCTCAACACAATTCACCCCTCCAGTCAGGCTATACTCCTCTTAAAGTTTAGGGTGCAATGACACTCAAGGTTGGAGTCCTGTTTAATAGTCTAGAGACAAGCACAACACAGAATCAGCCAACTATGGCTGAGAAGTTCACCTTGGATCATTCCTCTAGTCATCCAACTCACAAGGTGAGGAGCGTGTGGCAGACTGTAATGCCACGTCAAGACACATTCAAGACAGAGATGGAGCACAACACTAACACACACTCCTTCCAGGGTCCAACTGTAGCTCCTCCAGGATTAGTTTGGGTATCTTTGCATTATGCTACATTTTACCACACAAAGCCAAAGGAAAACTGCTGTTCTTATTACTGCTCTCAAGAGAGACTCACAGGGTTGCTGTCGCTCCTTCTCTCTGGAAGAGATGTTACACAGATTTCTGATATGATAGAATGCTGTTACTACTAATCTTCCTCCCTGCCCCCTTGCTTCAAAGGCAGGGCTCCCTCTAGAACTGCCACTACTAACTCCTCTTTCAAGCAAGAGGCTACATGGATGGTTCTGGCTTATAGTTGGTTTCTATCCCCACCCAAAATGCCAGTTCTGGTTAATCCCTACATCAAGAACGGGTATTTTAGCTTGTGCTAGGAAAAGTTGAGAACTATACCTGCAGAAAACATCCAAACGTATGACTATGTTGACGAATAGAGGACAGTGATACAAGAATTTAAAGAGAGCAGTCCAACAGAAACATAAGAGAAAATAAGTATTATTCTGGAAGACATACATGATATGAAAGCAAAATACTACTATAAAAGAAATTTGAAGTTTTAAACTAATCTGGTACAGAAACAGCTCTCATGAAGATGAACCCCACCCCCACCAAGCCCACAAGGTTCTGCTAAAAATCTAACAAATACACACCCTGAAGAACAAACTGAAATCAAGCAGCTTTTCGTACCTTTTGTTTCTGCAGCTGTACCTTTAGTTCCATTAGCTTTCTTCCCATTGGGAAAATATTTTTCAAACCCTATTAAGAAAGAGTTAAAAAGCTTGTTATTGTTTTATAGTTTACAATTCCATCATTACACTTCAGTTATCGCAAGCTGAATGTATATAGCAGCAAAGAAGCTAGCAAAATATAATTGCAAAAATGGTCTTGTTCTTGCTTTCTGGTTGACGAGCTCTACAACGTTCCCATAAACGAATCTACTATTCTTGACAATAACCAAAATATGTTTAATAACCTAAAGTCAAGTTGTCCTTTAAACCAGAGAGACAAACTTAGTTAAAACAGAGAATTGCACTGCATAAAGTGAAGCAAACTGCAGTCACTCATCTTTAATAGCTCCTAGAAATCTCATAAATCAATGATTTATGAGATCAGCCTTAAGATTAATGGCTGGTTAACAAAAGAAATTACTGCCCCAGAAACAATAAACCTAAAGGGTACACAAGTGCAGTCCTTCGCAAGGAATGCAGTCTGCTTCACTTCAGTGACCAAAGTTATAATCACCTTTGGGAGGTTGGGAGAACAGTCTTCTGCAAGCAGCAATTACACTTGCCAAGACAGTACTTCTGTCAGTAGTAACACCAGCAGTAACTTTTTCACGGAGCTGAAAGATGAAAAATAAATATAAAGCAACAGGAAGGTGCTACAAAAGTCTTCAAGCTCTCTGAAAGTCCCAAATTGCTACAAGCCAGATATTAAGATGCCTGTTTTAAAATCCTTCATTCCATCCCATTCCAACAACAACAAAAAAAAATGTTGTGGCCAAGAGCGATTAAGAGAACAACGGAATAGGGAAAAGTCAATCAAATGGATAATTTCCAGAATGAGGAAATGTTTATTTCATTTACTAAGAGTACATATCTATCACAGAGACAAACATAATATTTCTTATTAAAAAGAAGAAGAAAAAAAATCAAGTAGTAAACACTGCAGCCACAAACATTAACTATTTCTACAATTATCCTACAGGAAATATTTCATAATAGCAGCTGAAAGGTACTTAAATGCAATACTGACTGAACAAGCATGATCCACACAATACTAAACTACTTTTTGTGAAAGAGCAGTGACTCTTTTCAAAGAAACTATGACTTCTGTATATGAAAGATCTGCTCGAATCCAAGAGAAAGGAGTATGTCAGACTATATACATACACACACACAGAGATATATATATATAGCTGAGAAACCACATGACAGCATCATTTCAAAAAGCAGACCTAAACCTCTGTGCAGGCGGAGATCCATCTCAAATCCTCCCAATTTTATCATACTTTGATCTAAGACTAATTGCTTACACTTATTCACTATTTAAGAGCAACAAAGGAAATTGCTAATTAAGAAAATTTAATTTATATTCTAAGTGAATACTTTAAAATAGAGTAAATTACAATTTTATTACAGAGAAAATAAATTCCATTTCTTCCAGAAAAAGGACATGTATTTTAGATAAAAATCCCAATTTATCCCTTTCCTGAGCTTTCTCCGCACTTTTTAACAAATATGTTTTCTAATGAAACTGATTTTATTTCTGCTTCTACTTCTCTTTGCCCCAAGGGAGCGCTCAGTTTCCTACTTTTGATTAGGATCAATTTATCTTGAGAGGCAGTGAATTTGTAAAAACAGCAGTAGTAGGTTCTAGAATCATTATGAGTTATGATCCTGAAAATATGACTCATGGCATCCATGCAAGACAACAAACATCCATCTAGGACTCTAGCACATCTGAGACTACATCTATGAAGGAAAGCTCAGTGTTAGTGTCTTCCTAACAGTTTTGTTATATTTGAATTGTAATGGTTGTTGACAAAACCTTCTATTCGTGCATATTAAACAAACTTGCAGGATATTAGAGTCCATGCTAAGACTACTCTAGAAGTGCTGACATATGATAAGTTGATTATTAACTCTCCTGAAGCCTTCTGCTTTGGAGCATCCCCTCCCACCTTGTTAAATGAGAAAATAGATTAGACTTTTATTGTCAGTGGCAATCTAGTTCCACCTGCTGGAAGCAAGAGGAACGTCAGAATGTCCTTGCTTGCTTTTGCTATAGACTGAGGTACAAATAATTCTTAAGCCATTATTTTGACTAAGCCATTATTTTGTGCCATTGTAGGTCTTAAATCAAGTTGGGTACTACAATTCAAGAGGATATTTTAGTGATCACATAGAGCATGTCAGGTGCAGATAACCTAGAGAATACCTCATCTAAAGCATAGCTACTAGGTCCAATAAACCACAACAGACAATTGCACCTGCGCTCCTGGGGGAGGCTTTAGGAGAAGCAGGATGAATCTGTGCTGCCACAGATCAACCTATATGTAGCTCAAGCGCAAAGAGGTAGTAAAAGCAGCAACAGATGAAAATCAAAGCCATGTCTAGTAAAATTAGCTTCCATATCACTGGTCTCCTAAAACACCAGAGGGAGAAAGACCAAAAAACATTTATTTACGCTGCAATCTCAGCACAAATTTTTTCCTTCTAAAGAGACAGGAACATTCAGAAACTCTTCTCCGACCAGCATAAAGCAGCTGCTCACATTCACAAGAGTAGTTTCAGTAAGCCATATCAGTTTGCCTAGCTCAACTAGACCAGCATGAATTTGTTACAGGGTTAACCCATTGTTTAACCAGGTGAGGGAGGGGTAAAAACAAACAAACAAACCAGCCAGCCAACCTACCCACACCCTCAACAACCATACAAGCAAGAAAAAATAAAGAAAAAATAAAAATCACAAGGCAGAGCTTTGGGGCAGACCTAAGTAATGGAATTGATTTGTTGCTGAACTGTCTCTACAGATCCTCAATTCTACAAGAAAGAAATGTATAGTTGCCTTTCAAGATAATATGCAGAGACTCAAGAGTAGTAAGGTTGATTTCAAAAGAAGAGGAAACAACTGGATTTATGGTATATTTGGTAAATCACCTCACTGAGGCGAGGTGGCACGCCTTTTTACACTACCTACAGATCTAACTGAGTCAATAACTGGAAAAGACATTTTCTTTTCTCCATAGCCTTCCACAAATCCAAACATTGCTAGAACTACACTACATCAGTGAGAACTGCTTGTCCTTTTTTTTTTTTTTTTGAATATGTAAGTTACAATAATGAAAACTGATCACATCAATCCTCATAAAGAGGTGGGCTGGCTGGCAAAGGGGATGCCACAGAAAGCTGAGCTGATGTACACTCCCACTACCTAAGCAGAGGGAAAGCAAACAAAATACGGTTTGACTGGATGCTTAAATAGTACAATGGCTGTTTTGGGCTACATACCAGGAAACTTTGCTGAGGTTCTCTCAGTCAGAGATGAAAGAACTGCTAAGGAGTATAAAATATATTAAATATATATATATATATTTATCTACATTTTTTTGCAACATCTTCCTGTAATCAGCTTCTGCTATAGATGTTCAAGACATATGTTTGAGCCACACAAAGTTGGTTCTACATTGCAAATACACCAGAACTGTGATGAAAAAGTTATTACTCCAGAGTACTACATAAATGCAAGATCTGTAACACTAAAGAAGTCTCTCCCTGATTCCAATGCTAAATAAAATAATTTTTAATAAGCAGAACAAATAACTTTACAAAAACATTGTAACTATAACCTATACTTAAAATAAAAAAATACCCAAAGCAAGGCAGGAAATCCACTATCTTAGTTATGTAAGAAACAAATTATTAAAAGGAAGAATATGTTAACTCAAAAAAGTTACAAGTTTATGGCTTTATCTATAATGAAGTTTTAAACTAAGATCCTTAAACTGAACATACAGTGAATGAAATAGTTATTTAAATTATCTAATAGTCAAAGTGTTACATAAGACTGTGCTGGGCAGCACATTTTTATCTTCCTTCAAAAGTTTTCCTTGTTCTGCCACATACACAAACCCACAGGTGTTAGCAAAAGTACAGTTATTTTCAAAATAAGACTTCATTATATTTTGTTGAAAGAGCAGGGAATTAGCTTTCTGACAGATCAGTAGCACTGCTGACAGCATTCCATCCATTTATTGTTCTAATGTTAAGCTGTGACCAAACATACACACAAACTCAACAGGAGAAAAACAAGACACATTCATTCATCCTTAGCCTAAGTTACCAACATCCTTAACTGTATTCGTCTTACTATGCTAGTGATAATCTTTGTAAATAGAAAAGTATAGTTGTTCTCCATTGTAAGCTACAGAATAATTAAACAACTTGTCCAAGAAGATCCAGCAGCTGAACAGCTCCCACTTCCCAAGTAACAGCACAGGCCTGTCATTCCTCATATATGTTAAAGGTGACAAGGGTAACACGTATATCGTGTAACTCTGACAATCCAAACCATTTTACGAAGAATGCACTCCCAGCCATCCCTACTCATCAGTTAGCGCTGACACAGCCCGGGTTCAAACCTGCATCGCTAACGCGCCGCACAGCCCCCAGAAAGCGAACAAGCGACTACCTTCCTCCTGCTTTGGGGCCCCTGAACCGATGCAGCAGCTGGCGACCTCACAGCGGAAACAAACCCCTCAGAACCCAGCCACCGGCCTCAAGGAGCCCTCAACGCACTTGCCGCGCGGGCGGAGCGGATCCAACACAAACACCGGCGGGGCGCGAGCCCCGCTCCCAAGCGCCGCGTG